GCTTCATTTTCATAAAAAAATATATAAAATTGGTGTACTAGTTTCAAAGATATTGACATTTTAGTAATCGTACTTTTGTCCAAAATTCAAAAAATCAAAATTTTTGTATATCTCAAAAATGGCTCTACTTTAATTTTTTCTGACCACGGCATTTAATTCAGCGTAGGATTTTGCATTAGAAACGTTGGTCAACCACTAAAGTTCACACTTTTTATGTTGTTTTGTAAACTAGTGTATTCGAAGGCGACCGGTCTTGTCGATAAACGGAATATGATTCGCCAAACAACTGATTCGTTGAGGTATGTCCATTGAGCCTGGTTTCGGAAAATGCGTAAACATCATAGGAACCGTCGCTGAAGGCCAATTGGTACTCGGCGAGAGAGCTGTTGATCCCACCAACATTTTGGTAGTACATCAGGACATTCGAAGAAGCAGGTGCAGCATTACTTGCTAGAAGCGCAGTCCTAAGGATTGAAGATTCGTCAGAGCGGAGATTGCCGTTACTAATAGGATACTTGCCATGATAGGCAGCTTGGAAGACCCCATCGCCAGCGCTAGACTCAGGGCCGGGACGACTTGGATGGCAGGAACGAGAGAACTGCGACAGGTTTTCGATGATGGCTGGAGGCGCGACTGAGCTAGGCGGGTCAGGGCCTTCCGTAATGCTTTGTGTCAGGCGTCCCAGGTTCGATGGCGGTGATCTTGGTTGCGTTGGAGAATGGTGTGAAGACGAAGCGTAGAAAAGTGGTGGAGGACTAAGTGTTGGTGTATTGCAGCCAATAGTGGCCTCGACGAGACACACGCTGGAAACGGAATGTCGATCAGGTAGTGAAAACATATGATATTGAACGTACTTGCCTGGAAGAGCAGGCTGGAGGACCTCAACTGCAGACTCGACAACAGGACCGCGACGACTAAGATGATCGCTGGCAGCAAGAAACGGGACTGTGTCGGGCTGAGAAGAGGCCTCCAAAGTGCTATCTAACATGCGTCGCGGGGTCCTCAGTCCATCATGGCTTGCTCCGTTAGTCAATCGTCGTGTTTCGTTGTCAGTTGATTTTTCCGGAAATTTGCGGTGGTCGATCGTTGATCCAGTAGAACCAACAGAAAGCATCAGTTTTTTTTTTTTTTAAATTGACAAATTCCCGCAAACGGATACCAACGGGCAAGGACGAGGGTTCCAACGCCAGTTCCTTGAGGTTAGGGTCCAATCCGATTTTGTAAGATACAAACGTCAAGTTGGTGGTATCTTTGCCCTTCGGAACAAGGCGCACCACATCAGCAGCATCCGAAGTTCACAAACAACGCGCAACGATTTTCTGCACGTCACTGTTACTGATTAGCGGATTTAAGCCAGTCATGTACAGCCAAAACTTTTCTGGTGCCGCAGCTTACGCGATAGACGGCACAGAAAGATGATTCTCGACGGTACAGAAAGATGAATAGGTGCTGGAAATAGATGATTGACGTCATTTTGGAATCCGATATGGCGACTAAACTGTCGAATACCTTACATTTATTTTTAAAACGTGGACGCGGATGGAAACACAATTTTAGAATCAAGATGACGACTTCCGGTTTGTGAAAAACTATCAAATACTTTAAAATATAGGTATTTTCTGAACGGAACCGACGTGTAGAGGCCAGAAATCGATGGTTGACGCCATTTTGGAATTCAAGATGGCAACTTCCGGTTTATGATGAAATTTCGAATGCCCTTCAATATGAGCATTTTCGGAACGGGTACGATGTGTAGAGGGTAGAAATCGATTTTTGACGGTTTATGAAAGTGTCAAATAAATGTTATACGGGAAATGGCTCTAATGTTGGCCTATGGATCTAAGATTGGGAACATCGCTAAAAATCTCCTATTTATAAATTTTATCTAGATGAACGCGTCATTGGGTCGTTACTAATGGATATTTTTGGTCGCTATTGGAAATTTAGTCGATTACTGAATTTATACATGGGCCCAAATTAGAGGCATTTAGGCCGACATTGGTTACTTTTTTATTCTTCCCTTGATTTGCTTTCCGTACTGAGTACCAATGCTACCGACGCTAGGGAGGCAGCTCCTCCACCTGGACCCTACCTATTGACCCATCATCAACTCATGGCCGGGGATCACCGGCTTTACTTCCCTTCCGAAGCAAGGTGTGATCAGATATTTTATGCCTCAGAAAATCCTGGCTGCACCGAATGAGATTAAACCCAGGCCCTTTGGGGTGAGAGGTAATCACGCTTACCACTACACCACCGCCCAACAAACAATTTTAGCTGCAGACTAGCTTATACACACTGAAACAAATCGACATGTACCGTTTATTGGATCCATCTTATAACATAGCAATGTCAGCAGATTTATTCATTCTATGTGATGATTGATAGATTCCATTGGATTATCACTTAAAAACTATGACTGCGATATGGAATGATTTCTATCGTAATTTCACATACTTAGTACTTGATAATACTTTGCTTTGAACGTGGTTAGCGATAGGTAAGATGTATATGAATATTGTCTGATATATTTCATGGTGAAAAACTGTTGATATGTCATGGGTGGGAACAGACATCTAGAAACTAATGGAAAATCATATAAGTTTGCACTATGAGAAAATCCAGTAAAATATACCTGTTTTCATGTTGAATATTGCTCACTAAAATATATATCTTATAAGATAATCATGTATATTTTATTGGAGTTGCTTTTACTGATTTTTGACGTTTGTTGATATATCGCGTGTAAATAGACATGTAGAAACTATTGGACTGTCATTTAACTTTGCAGTATAGGAAAACATGTATATCTCATTGTAATAGCTTGCTTTGATTTTTGACGTTTAAAGATCTATCCCAATCATTAAATAGTCATATAGAAATGCCTTTTAAGAAATCCAACAGCAAGCATTTGTTTTTGCATGTTTTTCTGGGATGAATATCGCTCCCAATAAAATACATATACATCTTGATTGTTCTTTATAAATTATTGAAACAATTTTCAACGATGTTAACGTACACTCATTCATATGATAATTGGTTCCAGAAAAGAATGTATTGAGATTGAAAAAAAAAATGATTCTACTGTAATATTTACTTTGCTATGATTCTAATTGTAAGCCTTCTACACGGCTAATTCAGATTCCAGCCCTAAGTAGTACTCGAACTTCATGCCAGTTCTATCAAATCATATAATTTAGTCGTTGATTTATTGCACACAGGTGCATTAAGAAAGATTTGAACAAACCACACCACCGAAACGGAACATAAATTTGTCAGTGCTATTTGTCTTCACTCTAGCAAAACGAGCATAAAGTTGCACTACATTCCATGTCGGGAGAGCTGTTCTTACTTCATGCTATTTGAACGAGCTCAATCTTGAAGTCAGCCGTGGCCCAGTGGAATCGAGCACAGACACCGAAAGCATCACACCTCAACAGATCTTGATCGAATCCCAAATCAGCTACAATAAAAAAAAGGCACAACTGTGAAAGCTCCCACTGCCTGATGTTTATTTTTCGAATTTATTTTTAGAAATCGATTAAATATATGTGTCAAAAGAAGAAGTAAATTTCATGTTATTTTCACATAAACTTTACTTCGATTGATTTATGACACATATATTATATTGTGGTGAAAAGTATAGCTTATGCTTATGGGTTTCAAATCCATTTCAGTTAATTATTATAATTTAATCGATTTTCATTTATCATATGACGATCATATAGAAGTTACCAAATTATCAGCATTGTAAATGTATCAGATATTCATATAGAATTTACCTGACACATTTTCAATCATATCATTTTCAATGGATTATCTTATAGCGCAAATTTATTAGACTTCCACATAACAGGAATATGTCAAATTCGTTCAGTGCAGGCAAATATTAGCAGTATAAGCCATTTTTTGGCTGTATAAGCTAATCTGCAGCTAAAATTGTTAGTTGGGCGTCGCCTCTAATTATGAATACTTTTATGTAACTTATTTCAGTCATAATCAAGTTGCAGCAACTTATTATGATGGAAGTGTGTTGCTTGGGTATTATGACCACCATCCAAAAGGACTTGGTCACCTGAAGAACTTTGCTGCAGACATTAAACTTCTATATGGCCAGGATCACGAGATATTCATTGTTGTACCCAGATTTCATATATTATACCGCCCGTCATAAGTAATATGAAATTGAAGCGCCTCTAGTGGCGTAGTTCCCCATTAAATCTGAATCCAAATGTCTAACTCAGTACAACAACTTTGTCCAAGACGCTTTATATATTGAAAGAAATGAGATAATGCATCACAGCCCCTGTTAGTGAAAATCCCATAAACTGTAAGGATTCCCAACTGTAGGTTATTAAGGACACCGGCGGTGATAGCGCACAGGTCTATGTCAAACTTTTTATCAAAGTAGAGAGGCTATAAATATAAAAACAAAAAAAAAACACACTTGCGCATAGCTACTTCCAGTAGACGTAATTTCTTCGAAAAACAAGACGATTATAGGGGAAGTGTACCAGTTATGGTACTAGTGCGCCCCTAATTGGTCAAACAGCCTATAACTCATGTTTAAAATAAGTTTTTTTTCCATATTTTTCAACGAAGGCATACAGAACAGCATTGAGACTAGCTTCATTTGACTTTTCACAAAAAGTAAAGGTTTTAGGCCGTACACGGTAACGGCAAAATACCCAATAATGACTACAAAGTAAGCATTTTCGAGGGAAACTGGGACTACCCATTAAATGAGTAAAATTTTACCCATTTATGAGTAATTACAACTACTAACAATAAGTAGTAAGTATTCATTTTTGAGTAACAAATACTCATAAATGGGTAATATGTTTACTCATTTAATGGGTAGTCCCAGTCTCCCTCAAAAATGCTTACTTTGTAGTCATTATTGGGTATTTTGCGGTTACCGTGTATGGTAAATTAGGGGATCACTAGTTCCATAACTGATACACTTCCCCTAGCTCAGCTCTATATTGGCCTATTTACAGATTCCTCAATCATCCTACATTTAAACGTTACCCACCACACCCCAGGACGTCACATCGCACTCGAGTCGCAATCGGGTTTCCTTCGTCCCCACCTGGAACTATGGTTCTTTGCCCAAAATCGACAACCAGCACCGATTTGCCATAAACCACCTCGGCCTTCTGCGTCAAACGACCCAATGAACATCATCAATACCAGAAGTAACAGCAGCGGCCAGAACCAAAGTTTTCCCATCGAAATAGCAGCAGCAGCATCCACGAAATTGCCACCGCAAACGGGTGTTCATAATGGCGATGGTGGTCGCCATCATCATAATGATCATCATCATGGTTGTTGGATTGGGCAGCAAGCGCACTGCCGAGAGATGAAGGTCATGGACGTCAGGTGCGGTGAAGCGGTACCCGCAAATGTCATTAGTGGCGATGCGGAACACCATCGTCGTCGCCGTAGTCATCAACTGGAGGACCCACAGTCGGAAAATGACCGGAGTAGTCTGCTGGGTGTGAAGTTTTATTTCAAACATAACTCATTTTTATTTCAGGTGATTATGCGATAGTTTTGGAGTATTTCCAGATCCCGCTAGCTGTTCCGCTAGGCTTGAAATTTTTGCATCTCGGTTGGGTTGGAATGGTGTAGCTTGAAAGCTTAAATCGATTTTTTTTTCTCAACTGTTCACCTTTTCATAATCCTTGTAATCATCAAATCCAACTTCAAAGCGCTCACTTCTACCCTTTGAGGACTACAAACACGCGGCAGACGCTCGGGAAAAAAAAACCCCATCCTGACAAATCCTTTGAGTGGAATTTAAAATTTAATTTGCAAACACTTTCCTTCCTCTTACTTTCTGCAATCCATAGCTTGGGAACCTTACCAGAGCTTTTTTTTCCACGTTGAGCTTTTTACATCGGGCAAAGGTGATTTCCGGTTCTGTCTTTCACTTCCCACCTTTTTGTAAATGTTCCGAAAAAGAAACCCCAACGACGGAAAAAATGAAAACACATCCGGGATTCCACTTGACGCAAAGCTGAAATATTTATGCAGAATGTACCTACTCTGGCTCTACAGCAGTGGCAACGGGTAGAGTTTGTTTGTGCAGCTGAAATTTATTTTTCTTCCGGTAGAGTTTTGATTCAGAGCCATTTTACTGCCGCTGCTCAACGACGACGACGACGACGACGATTGGATGCATTGAAAGTGAAGGGGCTTACTGTATGGGAAGGGGGCACAGTCACTCTACTAAAAACACACAGAGGCATATGACATGTCACGTGCAGCCAAAGGCGATTAGAGTCTGGAACTGAAAGCGGATAAATAATAGAGAGAAGCGGTCTGGTGTCTGTTGTGATGCAATGTTCGAAACAATTCACTGCAATTTTTTAAAGCTGTACTTAACTGGAGATATCTTCAGAAAGGGTGCGGGAATTGAATGAGCATTTCGGAATGCTTGCGGGAATGATAAATGCCCAATGCAAATCAATGACAAAAGATCGAAGGATCAAATGGGTGATGGCCAAAAAGTCAAATTGACAAACGGTCAAATACAGTGTTGACTAAAATCAAGAAGGGGGCGACCCCGGCTAGTGGTTAGTGGATATCTTTGGAATTGGCTCGATGAGTAGAAGTGGAAAATCAACATCCGCTGCTATTTGAAATCCAAGATGGTGGACCATAATCCAATATGGTGGCCTCCATCTAAACCCATGCAATATGGGTATCTATGGAATGGGCTCGATAAGTAGAAGTTGAAAATCGACACCCGCTACCATTTTGGAATCCTATAGAGCAGACCAAAATCCAATATGGTGGCCTCCGGATATCTACCGAATGAGCTATGAAATCTATGAACAAAGAAAGATTTTTTTTTAATTTAGTGTGTAAAACCTTATTTACTATGCAGTTCACTTTTTTCTAGATAGTCCTATCAAATACCTTCCATTTGCAGGAGAAAGATCGGAAATGGATTGAATCGTACAAAAGTAAAGAATTTTCAAAGTTCATAATACCAGATCTAGACGTTGCATGCATTTTCAAGACATTTGGCCGATGCCGATTCCAAGCAAAACCTCTCTATCCGAGCAATTTGATGTGAATAAATAGTCACGGTGGAAAGGGCGTTCAGCGCATTAAAGCTCGTTCTTACCGACCACCGCTAATTCTATTGCAACACTAAATAAGACACGACAGTAAAACTACTCACGTGTTTTCATGAAATCTATCAAGGCTTACTTTTCACCTTAGGAATGGCAGCGGAAGTGTCCCAGTGTCGCCAATTGGTCCACACAGTCTTCGGCGGAGCTCTAGGGTAAGGTCAACGCCCTCAGTGACAAGAGCCGTACGGCCACACTGCATATACAGGTACACGGCACTGCAGTCTCCGACCCCGCAATCGTTGCAGATTAGCTTGGCGACTACTTCGCTGACCTTTCCAAGTACGAGGCGATCTTTCAACGGCTATCAAACCCATCGACTTCGTCGGTAAACAGTTTTCGAGTTTCTCCGGACACGAACAACCTGAGGGTCAACCACGATTTCACCCGGCAGGAGCTTCAGTTCGCGCTTAGTAGAAGCAGCCGGCCCAGACGAGATCGGCTACCCGCTGCTCAAGAACCTGCCTACCCCGGGTAAAGTAAAAATGCTGGATCTCTTCAACCAGCTTTGGCAGACAGACTCGTATCCAGAGATCCCCAAAGCAAACGAGCCGACACGGGACGTGGCGAAGTTCCGACCCATTGCGCTCACCTGCTGCATGGCAAAGGTGTTCGAGCGGATGGTCAACCGACGCCTGAAGCAGTTTCTCGAGTCTGGCGGCCTAGACCATCGCCTACACGCATTCCGGCAAGGCCACGGTACAGCCACGTATTTTGCGACGCTAGGAAAGCTCCTCAAGAATGCCAAGAATAACGATCTACACATGGAGTTGGTTTCCCTGGACATTGCGAAAGCCTTCAACCGTACATGGACGCCCGCGGTACTGAAGCAACTCGTCAGCTGGGGCCTTAGCGGCTATATCATCCATTTAGTCCAAAATTTCCTGACTGGCAGATCCTTCCGAGTGGTTACGGTAGCCACAGGTCAAACTCCGGAACAAACGAGGATTAGACCCCAATCAAGGGTTTCCGCCGTAGTCAGATGGGCCGCTTCGAAAGGCTTTCAGCTGCCTGCTGGAAAGAGCGCCAGGTGCCACGTTTGTCAGTACCGACATTGGGTCTGCGGACCTTCCATAAAGATCGGTAAAGGAACTATCTCATTGAAGAAAACTGTGAAACTGCTGGGACCACCTTGCTTATCTTGTTTTCATTGACCGGTCGCTGAGTTTTGACCAGCATCTTCAAGAGGTCAAGGCCAGCTGTCGCAGCAGGATCAACCTCATCCGCACAATCTCCCGTCCCCGGCGGTCCAACAACAGAGAAGTATGGACTCGAGCTGACCTGCATCGGCACCGACGAAGCAATACAAATACTCGCTCCGGTGTACAATAGCTACACGCGCATCATATTTGGTCTCCTACTCTTGACGCCAACCAATGCCAGCTGTGTGAAAGCCGGCGCTCTCCCTTTCCGGTACCGTATCTACGCAGCCATTGCCAACAAAGCCGCTGAATTGTCTGCAAATACCGCGGGAAACTACAAAATCTCCCTCCTCAGCGAGGGGGACAGACTTCGCCGTACAATCGGCAACGCAGAGCTTCCCTCAGTGGCCAAGATTCACTGGTATGGAGATGGGACCTCGCTTAGTTCAGTCGGTAAAGGCACAGCTACAAAGCAAGACCATGCTGGAGGTGGCTGGGTTCGATTCCCGGTCCGGTCTAGGAATTTTTCGGGTTGGAAAATTTCTCGACTTCCCTGGGCATAGAGTATGATTGTACTTGCCACACAATTATACTAATGCAAAAATGGTACAGGCATCGAAAGCTCTCAATTAATAACTGTGGAAGTGCATCTAGAACACTAAGTTGAGAGCACGCAAAAAGATTGAAATGCGAGGAAGAAGAAGAATAAGAAGAAGAGATAAGAGTTGGCAATCTCCCGCACCAAACATCGACAGCCGAATAAAGGAGAAGTTCAGAGCCAGGGATAATTCCGTAGCCCTTAGGAGATCGGTTGCAGAGCTGACCGGATTGTACCCAAACTACATGCATATTTACACGGACAGGTCAAGATTGAGAGCTGGAGTCGAATTGGGAATCGCTGGTGACATTTCCCCAACGAGTAGAAGTCTGCCAAAACAATGTTCGGTATTCTCGGCAGAAGCAGCGGATATTCTTCATGCCATCACGGTTCCTGCGGATCACCCAATCTTGATCTTATTGGACTCCCACAGTATTATTCAGGCCCTTTCGTCGGAGGTCCCGGTCCATCCCTGGACCCAGGGCATCCTGCAGGTTGCGCCACCAAACTCTACCTACACATGGATTCCCGGACACTGTGGGATCCCATCCAGACAACCAGAAATCGTATAACAATATACAGACAGTATCGTAAATTGCTACAGTTAAAGTCAAAATCACATATAAGAATGGCATACTTTGCATTATGTTTAAGTTAAATCGTATAGAATGCATATTTCCGACTTATATGCGATGACTCATTTTTCCGTCGTACTGAATCACAAATTAGATCAGATTACATCGTAAGACTTTTCAAAATGAATTTGTTATTACAGATTGAATCGTATATGATGTTAAATCAACTCGTTTAAAATTAAATTAAAATATGCACGTATATGACCTCCACTTTTGTACGTATAAGCCATTTCTATGCATTCTATAAGAATTGTTTGTTTGTATAGATGTTTGTATATCATGAAAACCACTTTGAATATACGTGCATTCTGGTTGTCTGGGCAGGGAACATCGAAGCGGACATCCTAGCCGGGTCAGGCCCATCTGGTCGTTGGTACTCGCACAAGGTGCCGTTGCAGGACGTGAATAGATGGATCTCTTGCACAGTGCGGACAGCATGGGCAATGGTCCAGTACCAGACTTACGTTTATTAGAAAAATTAAAGACGACATCGGAAAGTGGATTGACCTTGCAAACCTGCAAGACCAGCGGATTTTTTCCAGACTCCGGGCAGGGTACTCCGTAATCTCACGGGATTTAGCACCATCTATTCCTTCGGCCGTCAGGACATCCCCGCTGGACGGGATGCATATTCGCTGTTTAGAGGCCACCGTATTGGATTTAGATCCACCATCTTAGAATCCAAAACTGCGGCGACTGTCGATTTTTCACTTCTACTCATCGAGCCCATTCCATAGATACCTATATTGCATGGGTTTAGATGCATATTCAATGTCAAAAGGCCATATTGGATTTCGGTCCACCATCTTTGATTCCATAATGGCGGCGAATGTCGATTTTCCACTTCTAGTCATCGAGCTCATTCCATAGATACCAATATTACATCAGTTTAGATGCATATACGTTGTCCGCAAGCTTCCATATTGGATTTTGGTCCGCTATATTGAATTCCAAAATGGCGGCGGATGTCGATTTTTCATTTCTACTCATCGAACCCATTCCATAGATACCCATATTGC